CACGAGCGCAGCGCTCGGTGGAGCGGCTCGCGGCGGCGCGGCCTCCCCTGCAGGCGAACGGAGGAGCCCGGAGCGGAGCTGCGTGCAGCTCGAGGGGGAGGCAGGCAGGAAGGAAGGAGCCGTGGCACGGAGCCGGCCCGCGGCAGGGTTGTGCTGGGGGAGGAGCAGCAGGGACCCCGGCCACGGCCGCCCCTTCCGCAGCGTCTCTCCAGGGGGCGATTGCGTGCGCTGAGCTTCAGCCTTGGGAGCTGATGGCTTTTTGTTTCTCTCTCCCCGCTGGCGACGTCAGCCTGCACCTGACCACCTTCAGCCTGCAGTACACCCCTCCCGTTGTGGCCTGCGTCTGTATCCACCTGGCTTGTAAATGGTCCAACTGGGAGATCCCAGTCTCCACGGACGGGAAGCACTGGTGGGAATACGTTGATGGCACTGTAACTCTGGAGCTCTTAGATGGTAAGTTTTGGAGCGAGGTTCCCCCGAAGGCTCTTGTATTTCCTTGGCATCTCTGTTCCTGCCATTCAGACACGGCCACTTCGTGGGCTCGAAGGGCTTCTGGTTTTGCCGTGGTTTCCAGCGCAGCGGCCGCTATGGCGCGACAGAGATGGCAAAAGGCACGGAGAGATGAGTTCAATGCGGTCAGTGGTGCCGGCTGTCGCACCGCCCCTCCTCGAGTAGCTCCATGCCATCGTAGCTCCGTCCGTCAGCGAGCAGGGGGCCGCCCCGAGGATCCGGGCCGCTCCGCTCGTCCCTCTGACCTCCCCTTCCCTGCCTTGTGTCTCCTCTGCAGAACTGACCCATGAATTCCTGCAGATCCTCGAGAAAACCCCCAACCGGCTGAAGCGCATCCGGAACTGGAGGGTGAGGCTGCGGTGTGGGAGGGGGGGGGGTCTGTTGTGGGGCAGAGCGGGGAGGGGGCGGTGCGGGTCTGCAGAATCACAGCATCACAGAACGGTAGGGGTTGGAAGGGAGCTGCAGAGCTCATGGAGTCCAACCCCCTGCCAAAGCCGTTCCTACAGCAGGGCGCACAGCTCGGCATCCAGGCAGGTCTGGAACATCTGCAGAGCAGGAGACTCCAAACCTCCCTGGGCAGCCTGCTGCAGTGAGCAGTGGGACCCATAGAGACCCATTGGGACCCATAGAGGCACGTTGGGACCCATTGGGACCCATAGAGACCCATTGGGACCCATAGAGACACATTGGGACCCATAGAGGCACGTTGGGACCCATTGGGACCCATAGACTCCCCCCCCTCCCTGCAGCCTGTTCCATTGCTCCTCCCCTCACTGCACAGCCGTTCCTTCGCACATTGCTGCACAACTTCCTATGCTGCAGTTTCCGGCCGTTTCCCCTCCTCCTGTCTCCACTCCCCACTGAAAACAGTCCATCCTCGCCGTTCTGCCCCCCACACCTCAGATATTCACAGACCTGGATCAGCTCCCCTCTCAGCCTCCTTTTCTCCATGCTGAACAGACCCAGTTCACTCAGCCTTTCTCCATAGCAGAGATGCTCCAGGCCCCTCACCATCTTCCTGCCCCTCCGCTGGACTCTTCCCAAGAGCTCCCTGTCTGTTTTGTGCTGGGGAGCCCAGAACTGGACGCAGTGCAGAGGCCTCACAGGGCAGAGCAGAGGGGGAGGATCGCCTCCCTCGCCCTGCTGGCCACGCTGTGTGCAATGCAGCCCAGGATGCCATTGGCCTTTTTGGCCACCAGGGCACACTGCTGGCTCATGGCCGACCTGTCGTCCACCAGGACACCCAGGTCCCTCTCCGCCTCGACGCGGGGAGGAGCCCGGAGATGTCAGCGCTCCGTCCTGAGCGCCCCATGAAAACAGCCGCCCTTCCCTTGCAGGCCACGCAGGCGGCCAGGAAATCCAAAGCCGACGAGCACGGCGAAGACGAGGGGCTGTCGGAGCAGACCATCCTCAACATGATCTCCAGGAACAACAGCTCGGATATGAACATCGCGGGGCTGATGAGCATGTCCACGTCCTGCGCCGCCTCCGCGGGGCCCTCGCTGCCGGCGCCCGCCGACTCTCCCGGCGCTCCGAGCGCGGCGGACGCGGCTCCGGCAGAGCGCTGGCTGTCGCAGCACCCCGCGTCCAAGCTGGAGGCGCCGCAGAGCCACCGGACGGCCGAGGGCGCGGCGGGGGCGGAGCAGCAGCCCTGCCCGCAGCCCCAGGACGGCGGCGGCTACGGCAAGCAGGGCGCCAAGAGCGCGCCGTCGGCCAAGGTGTCGCTGAAGGAATACCGCGCCAAGCACGCCGAGGAGCTGGCGGCGCAGAAGAGGCAGCTGGAGAACATGGAGGCCAACGTGCGCTCGCAGTACGCCTATGCGGCCAAGAACCTCCTGGTGCAGCAGCAGAGGGAGAGGGAGGTGCAGCAGGACGGCAACCCGTCGCCCATCATCCTGAAGATCCCCATCGCCGAGAACCCCGAGCGCCCGCCGGGCCCCGACAAGGGCGACAAAAGCGCGGCGCTGAAGCTGAGGATCCCGATGGGGGGCGCCGGGGCGGAGCGGCCGCTGCCCTCCAAGCAGGAGGAGATCAAGATGCGCATCAAGGTGCCCGGCGAGCGGCCGGACGACGGCGGCGCCAAGAGCCGGGCGGAGCACAAGGAGAAGCACAAGGGCCACTCGTCCAACCACCACCACCACAACCACCACTCGCACAAACATTTGCACCCGCAGCTCGGCGCCGGGCCCAGCGCCGCGCTCGGCAAGCGCCCGGCAGACTCCAAGCACGCGGCGCCGACGGCCGGCGCCGCCCCCCATAAGAGCTACGGCCTCTTCGGCTCCTCCCGAAAGCGGCCGCCGCCGGAGGAGGGCGCGGCCCACGAGCACCAGCCCAAAGTCAGCAAAGGCCCCAAGGGCGCCGCGCCGCCGTTCCCCTACCCGCACCTCCCGGGACCGCACGGCTCGGACGCCGTCGCCGCGCTCCCTGCGCTGCCCTCGGCCCCCGGCAAAGCGCGGGGCGGCGCCCACGGCAAATCGGACAAAGGACCCGCGGGGGCCAACGGCCACAACGCCTCCCAGCCCAGTGACTACCAGGATACGGTCAACATGCTGCACTCGCTGCTGAGCGCGCAGGGCGTGCAGCCCGGCCCGGCCCCCCCCTTCGAGTTCCACGCGTACGGGGAGCTCTTGAACCCCAGGCCAAGCGGCCGACCCGCCAACACGGACAGACCCCGACCCCCCCCCCTGCCCTCAGAACCTCCCCCTCCTCTGCCCCCCCTCCCCAAATAGGGCCCTTTTTACTACTGAATTCCTGCAGCCCCGACCCTGCGCTGACCGGGGGGTGGGGAGGGGGGGTGGGAGGAAGGGCTGGTTTGTTCTCCACTGCCTCACGAAGAACTTATTTTATTATTATAACTTTTATTATATCGGTATTCAGAGCGCGGAGATGGCGAAGCTGTGAAGGGACGAATCCTTCCCTCCTCCTCCTCCTCCTCGCTCCCTCCCTCGCCGCCTCCCCGTCGGCAGTGGGCTCCGTCCCCGCTGCAGCCGAAGCCCCCGAATGGGGGGGACCACGTCCTTGTGGGGGAAGAGGGGGAGGTGGGGGCCTGAAGGGGGGGGCGGGGGGGGGCGGCTATTTAAGACGTGTCACAGAAAAATCTACGACGTTTTACAAATAATTTAAGCAGTAACTTATATGGTAGCGTTTGGTTCCTTTGTCGGGGCGGGATGCTGGATGGTGATGGGGGGCAGAGGGGCCGATGGGGGCCGATGGGGGCACGCAGGATGTGTGGGGTGGATGGGGGCGGGGTGTGGTGGAGGCTCTGGCTGCGGGGCAGCGGGCGGCTGAGGGCTGTGCGGTGATGCTGCCTGCAGAATAACGGCTCCGTGCCCCCATCTCAGCCCTTACGTCCGTCCCTGGTGTTTGGAGCTGCAGGTTTGGGGCTGGAGGAGCCCCGAGTGGGGCGGGGGGGGCAGCTTGGGGCCCTGCTCTGTGCTCAGCCCGCGGCTCCCTTCAGTGGGAGCCCTGCAGCTCCAGCTGTGCCCTCAGCCTGAGCGCTCCGGCCGCATTGGAGAAGCCCGCTGGTTCTGTTCCTTTTCCAAGCTTCAATAAATGCGCTGCCTCCATATGGTTTTTTTTTTTTTTGTGGAGGGGGGGGACGAAACCCTTTCCTACGTGAACACGGAGCTCACGGTCGGTTCTCTGGGCCCCGTTTCTCCCGCTGGTTGCGGCTGAGCCCCGCGCTCGCGGCTTCGCTTCGGGATGGCGGCGGGCCGGGCGACGCGCTGCCCACGTGCCGGCACCCACGTGTCGCCCACCCGCGAACCGCCTCACGTGACTCCGGGAGGCGTGGCCTGCCCGCCGCGGAGCGACGGCTCTCTCAGCCAACGGCGCGAAGCACCGCCCCTCTTCTCCCCGCCGATTGGTGGCGGGGCGGGCCAATGGGGAGGCGGGCCGCTTCATCGCGGCCGTGGCGGCACGGAGGTAAGATGGCGGCGGCGCTGCCCTCCCTACCGCGGCCGTCCCGCCCTTCCCCGCGCTCCCCCCGCGCTCCCTCCGCCATCCGCCGCCCGCGGGGCCGCTCACCTCCGTCTTTCCGTTCCGGCGGCGCCGCCGCGATCCCTCCCGGGGAGCCCTTCTCGCTCTCGCCGCCCGCGGACAAAATGGCGGCGCCGGCGCGGACGGGAGGCGGCAGTGCGCATGCGCCGAGGGCCAGCGCGTGGCGGTGGGGGAGCACGTGGGGGGGGGGGGGCGGCTCTGGGCCGGGTGGGTCTGGGGGCGGTCGGGTTGTGGGTGCCGGAGCCGGAGGCTGTGCGCTGCGGGGGTGGGCAGGGGGGGGATGGAAGGGGTGCGTTGTTGGGCCGAGCGCCCCGAAGGGAGGGGGGGGGGGGGGGGGGTTTTGGGGGGGGTTTTGGGGGGGGGGGGGGGGTGCTGCGTGGGGTGCAGGGCTGGGGGTTGTGGGCAGAGCAGGAGGGCACGGGGACCCACGGGGCTCCCATCCTACCCACAGGGCCGCCATCGTCCCCATGCTTCCCCATTCTCTCTACAGCTCTCGTCCTCCCCCGTAGTTCCCCCTCTGCCCCACAGAGCCCCCATCCATCCCTCGAACAGAGCCGCGCTCTCTGTAGGATCTGCTCCTCTCTCTCCCCACCCCCCACACGAGGAGTTCAATCAGCCAGCAGCAGAGGCTCCTCCTCTGCTTCATTCTGACCCCCCTCCTCCCCCGGCAGCTATAGGACATGAACAGGATCCGGATCCACGTCCTGCCCTCCAACCGCGGCCGCCTCACCCCCATCCCACGGCCTCAGGAGCCTCAGTGCTGCTCCTTCAGCCAAAGGCAGTGCTCCCAGCCCCGCCTGGAGGGCCACGACTTCTGCCTCAAACACATCCTCGAGGACCGCAGCGCTCCCTTCAAGCAGTGCAGCTACATCTCAGCCAAGAATGGGAAGCGCTGCCCCAACGCTGCCCCCAAACCAGAGAAGAAGGACGGGTGAGTGAAGGCTGCGCTGCTCAGTGGGTTTGGGGTTGGTTGGACGCAGCCAAAGGGCTGTGATGAGCGGTTCTGTGTCGTGGTGGAGGCCGGTCACAAACTGCGTCCCTCAGGGGGTCTTGGGGCTCTTCAGCATCTCCATCAGCGGCAGACGATGGCATCGAGCGCGGCCTCAGCAGGTGGCACCCAGCCGGGGTGCAGTCGGTGCATTGGGAGCCGTGCAGGGGGATGTGGAGAAGCGGGGCCATGAAGACTGAAGGAGGTTCAGTAGGGCCGGGTGCAGAGTGCTGCAGTGCTGGGTGTTGCCACCAAGTGGGGGAAAACCTGGAGAGCAGCCCTGCAGAGAAGGACTCGGGGATGAGAAGCTGCACACGAGGCAGCAGCGTGCGGCCAGCTGTGTTCTGGGCTGCGTTAAAAAGGGGTGGCAGCAGGGGGGCGATGGTTCCCCTCTGCTCTGCTCCTGCGAGGCCCCATCTGCAGCGCTGCGTCCAGGCCTGGGGCCCAGCACAGGAAGGACGTGGAGCTCTGGGAGTGGGTCCTGAGGCACTGAGATGAGCAGAGGGCTGGAGCAGCTCTGTGTGAGGAAAGGCTGAGGGAACTGGGCCTGTTGAGCTGGGAGAAACTGCAGGGGGACCTCATGGTGGCCTTCAGTGCTTGAAGGGAGCGGGAAAACAGGAGGGGGAACGGCTGTGTGTGAGGGGGGGTGGTGATGGGACAAGGGGAAGGGCTTTAAAGTGAGCCGGGGAGGTTTGGGTTGGATGTGAGGAGGAAGTTGTTCACACGCAGGGCGCTGGAGCAGGCTGCCCAAGGAGGCTGTGGGAGCCCCATGGTGGCTCTGGGCAGCCTCTGGTTGGCGACCTGCACACAGCAGGGGTTGGGGCTGAGGAGCGCTGTGCTCCTGTGCCACCCAGGGCATCCTATGATCGCGTGAGGGCCCCTGATCTGCTGTGCTCCGCTGCATCATCAGCAGGGGAAGGTTTGCTGTGTGCAGCGTGGGGCTGCTGGGCTTTTATTGCTGATGCTCAGACACAGCGCTGCTGCCCCAGGGATTCAGGGGGCATCCAGGGGGAAAATCGCTGCTCGGCGGGCAGCCAGGTGCTGGTGCTGCTGTGTGCAGAGCTGCTCGGCTGTGGATGCTGCTGGTTGGGCTGCTCACACATTGGAGACGCCAGCAGTGAGATTTCATTCTGTCCCTCTGCCCTAAAAAAGTGAAAAGCTCAGCGTGGGCATCTGGAGCCGGAGGGGCTCCCGGTGGCTCTGAGCAGGAATTGCTCTCTGCCCAGTGCTGGGGCCGCTCCAGCTCTGCTCCCAGGCCGTTCCCCCCCCCGTCTCCCCGTTCCTTTTGCTGCCGTTGGTGCTCAGGTGCTGGCCGTCTGTCCGTCTCCCTGCAGTGTGTCCTTCTGTGCTGAGCACGCCCGCAGGAACGCCTTGGCGCTGCAGGCTCAGCTGAAGAAATCCAACCCCGGACCCGCGAGCGAAACGCTGCTGTGCCAGCTCAGCTCCTATGCCAGGACAGAGCTGGGCTCCCAGAGCACCGAGAGCGGCCGCAGCGAAGCCAGCCGCATCCTGGGTGAGCGCTGAGGGACCCCGGCTGCTGCTTTCTGTGCTGCCGGGGAGCTGCTGAGGGAGTGAATGCAGCGAAGGGAGCCGGGGGTCACAACCTGCAGGCGGGCAGCAGCCAGCGGGCTGAAGTCAGGCGGGTTCCCTTTGCTGCGGGGTGGAGATGCTCAGCCTGGAGGGGAAGCGCTGCAGGCAGAGCCGGGTTTGGCCTCTCCGTCCCCACAGGGGCTGCAGGACGGCAGGAGGCAGAGGGGCAGGGTGTGGGGGGTGGCACGAGGGGAGATGGTTTCAAACGGGGGGGGGGCTGAGGCTGCAGGTCAGGATGGAGTTTGTGGCGGTGGAGGCGCTGCTGGGGGCGCCGGATCCCCGTCCCTGCAGTCGCACCCAGCGGGGCTCTGAGCTCCGCATGCAGCTGGCGGCGCCCTGGGTGCTGCCCTTTGAGGTCCCCCCAGCCCTGTGCCGCTCAGCTCCCTGATGGCTGCTTGTGGGGCTGGGCTGCGGCTCCGTTGTTTCATATCAGCGCTGCCTGGTGGCCGCCTTGGGGTTCCTGCTGGCAGAGATTTGCTCGCAGCACGGCGCAGAACAGGGGCTCTTGGCAGGGGGCAGAGCTGCGCCGCACGGCTGTGGGGCTGAGTGTGCCGTGCCATGGGGGCATTGGGGCTGGAAAACACCCGAAATCATCGCCCTGTGCCCCCCTGCCCCCCAACCACGGCCCTCCTGCCCCGCCACCAAAGTGCCGCCTCCCCTCGGTGCTATCGCCCGCTGCCACTTGTCGCTGCAGATGAGGACAGCTGGAGTGACGGCGAGCAGGATCCTATCACGGTGGATCAGACGTGGCGGGGCGACCCGGACAGCGAGGCTGACAGCATCGATAGCGACCAGGAGGATCCTCTGAAGTGAGTGGTGATCAGGGCTGCCTCGTTAGCAGTGCTGCCATCAGGCGTTGCGTCTGGGGGGGCTGTGGGGCTCAGAGCTGCCGGGAGCTTGCAGTTCTGTGGGTGTTGATGCTCAGCACAGAGCAGCCTGGGATGCACACAGCAAAGTGTGGCGGTTTGCGTTTGGGCTGCAGGAACGCATTGATATGGGGTGGGGGGAGCAGCCCTGCAGAGGAGGGGGTCCTGGGGGGTGAGAAGCTGAACGTGAGCCAGCAGTGTGTGACAAACAAATGGGATCCTGGGCTCCAGCAGCAGGGGGGTGGCAGCAGGGACAGGGAGGCGATCGGCCCCCTCTGCTCTGCTGCTGCAGCTGCATCCAGGGCTGGAGCCCCCAGGACAGAAAGGCAGGGAGCTGCTGGAGGGGAGCTGGAGGTGAGCAGGGGCTGCAGCAGCGCCCTGCAAAGCCAGGCTGAGGAGCTGGGGGTGAGCTGAGCGCAGCCAGGAGGGGAGGCAGCTCCGTGCGAGGGGAGATGAGAGCAGGACGAGGGGAAACGAGGCTGAGGGAGGGCAGCTGGAGGCCGGGTGTCGGGGAAGCGCTGCGCTGTGAGAGCGGCGAGGGGCTGAACGGCTGCCAGAGGGGCTGCGATGCCCCGTCCATCCCTGGAGGGCTTGGAGGCTGGATGGGGCCCTGCTGTGGGACGGGGAGCTTGGTGGCCCTGCATGGCACAGGGGGGTCGGGGCTCCGTGGTCCTCGAGCTCCCTTCCGACCCAGCCGTGCCGTGGCTTCGCGCAGCCCCTTCTGCCCTCTGTGTCCCGCAGGCACGCCGGCGTTTACACGGCCGAGGAGGTGGCCCTGATCATGAGGGAGAAGCTGATCCGCCTGCAGTCGCTCTACATCGATCAGTTCAAACGGCTGCAGCACCTCCTGAAGGAGAAGAAGCGCCGCTTCCTGCACAGCCGCAAGGCGGAGCACGAGGCCGTAGGCAAGTGGTGCTGCGGCTCCGTGCTGGGCAGCGCCTCCCTGCCCCTTCCCTTTTCCTCTCCCTGCAATCAGCGCAGCGCTGGGGGCTGGCGGCGCTATTTTGGGGCTGGCCTGGTGCCTGCAGGGCGCTGAGCTCAGAAAGGTCACCAGGGCTCCGAGCAAATCCTGAGCCCGCAGGAAGTGAGGCTGCGCTGTTCGTCCTGACACAACAGGCGGGGTTTTTTTGGATCGGATTTCCTGTTTTTTTGGGGCTCGGAAACGAGAAATGAATTCATCCTCAGGGCTGCTCGGCGCTGCGGTGACGCTGTGCTGTGTGGCACCGATGGCTTTGCAGCCCAGGCTGCGCTGCTGGCCGCTGCAGGTCTGGTTGCAGGGCAGGGTTTCTCGCCCTCCGCAGCCTTGTCATCACTGCTGGGAAACGGCACCGCGCCGTCTGGGTAAAAATAACTGGAATTCGGGTCTGTAGCAATTTGCTTGAGCTCGTTTTAGCAAAGCAGCGGTGGAGGAGCAGAGCTGCGCTGCAATTACAGCAGGAGCGCAGGTGGAAACTTCCCCACGGGGAGCAGAGCAGCGCGGCGCTGCGCCTCCTCTGCCAGGAGCGGCTCTGAGCTTTGGCTGGGCGGTTGGAGGAGGTTCCAGTCGGCCCCATGGGGAGCAGTGGGGCGGCCCTGCTTTGCCCCTGCGTGACCCAGAGATGCGGCTGCAGGAGGAGCAGCGCTGAGCTCCATGGCACCGCACAGCTCCACCGCCCCATGTTTGGCTCCGGATACCCGAAAGCCCTCCGACGGACCGGGAGCAGCGCGGCTGGGCGCTGTGCTGAGCCCTGCTGTCACCCCGCAGGCAGCAGCCTCCTGACGGGACCCGAGGGGCTCATGGCCAAGGAAAGGGAGAACCTGAAGCGCCTCAAATGCCTGCGGCGTTACCGGCAGCGCTACGGCGTGGAGGCTCTGCTGCACCGGCAGCTGAAGGAGCGCAGGGTGATGGCGACCGACGGCGCGGCCCAGCAGGTGTGTGGGGCTGCGCATGGGGCTCGTGGCCCGGCCCCGCGGCTCTGGGGCTCTGCCAGCTGTTCCCAGTCTGCCCAGTGCAGGGGGGGGACACCAACCTGCCCTGCTGGCAGCTCTGTGCTGTGCCTCCAGGGAGCCGTTGGCCTCGTGGCCACCAGGGCGCCTTGCTGGATGGCGGTCAACCGTTGGCCAACCATTGGTGAACCATCAGTCAATCAAAGCACCGTTGGCCTTCATGGCCGCCAGGACGCACAGTTGGCTCATGGTCACCTGCTTACTGGTCACCCATTGGTCAACCAGGCCACCGTTGGCCTTCTTGGCCATGAGGGCACACTGCTGGCTCTTGGTCAACCATTGGTCAACTGTTGGTCAACCAAGGCACCGTTGGCCTTCATGGCCGCTGGGACTTGCTGCTGGCTTGTGGCCACCCATTGGCCACCCATTGGTCACCCATTGGTCAACTGGGACACCTTTGGCCTTCGTGGCCACCAGGGCACGCTGCTGGCTTGTGGTCACCCATTTATTGGTCACCCATTGGTCACTGATCGGTCAACCAGGCCACCGTTGGCCTTCTTGGCCATGAGGGCACGCTGTTGGCTCCTGGTCAACCATTGGTCAACCAAGGCGCTGTTGGCCTTCATGGCCACTGGGCCTTGCTGCTGGCTTGTGGCCACCCATTGGCCACCCATTGGCCACCCATTGGCCACCCATTGGCCACCCATTGGTCAACTGGGACACCTTTGGCCTTCATGACCACCGGGGCACGCTGCTGACTCATGGTCACCCATTTATTGGTCACCCATTGGTCACCCATCGGTCAGTCAGGCCACTGTTGGCCTTTGTGGCCACCAGGGCACGCTGCTGGCTCCCAGTCAACCGTTGGTCAACTGTTGGTCAACCAAGGCACCGTTGGCCTTCACGGCCACTGGGACTTGCTGCTGGCTTGTGGCCACCCATTGGCCACCCATTGGCCACCCATTGGTCACCCATGGGTCACCCAGGCCACCTTTGGCCCTCGTGGCTCACGCTCATGGCTGACCCATTGCTCTCCCAGCTCCTCCTCCCCAGAGCTCCTTTCAGGTCAGCCCCACGCAGGGCTCCCCCCATTCCCATGGCCTGGCACCGCACTCCTCCACGGGTGGCAGACGCCCCTCGGTGCAACGTGAAGCTCAGGGGTCCCCCCAGCCCCCCAGTGACCCCCAGCGCTGCATTCAGAGCCGGCTCAGCTCTGGTTGCCGCCCTGGAAGCAGGCGCTGCTCTGCCCGCAGGCTCACACCACGCGCTCCAGCCAGAGATGTTTGGCCTTCGTGGACGACGTGCGCTGCTCCCATCCCTCGCTGCCCATGGCCAGGCACTGCCTCACCCGTATCCTTCCGCCCTGCCGTGCGCTGGGACCCCCGCCCCCCTCCTTTCCCCCCCCATCCGGCCCTCAATCGAGGCCGGCGGTTTGCTGTAGCCGTTGGTTTCAAACAGGAGCCCAAAGCAAGGCTTTCCTTCGGGCCGCCGGCTGGGCTCAGGCGCTGAGGGCACGGCTGGGCGCCGGGGGTGGACATGGGGGGGGGTCCTGCGCTGCAGACCCCAGGCTGGGCTTTGCAGGTTGGGGCCGGGGGCTGGAGGAGGTGCTGCACGGCGCTGCGTCCCTTTGGCTGCTGAGGCTCGGGAGCTGCGCTGTCACAGCGGTGGGCACAGGGACCCCCAGCCACAGCTGGGAGCTTGGGGGGGGGGGGGGGGTCTGCGGTCAGCGGGGAATGGGGTCAAAGCAGCGCTTGCTGCTGGCAGCCGTGGGGCTGAGCTTTGCTTTCTACCTCCTCGCAGAGGGGCGGCTGCAGGGGGAGTCGGGGGTCTGAGCCCAGAGTGGTGCTCTGTGCTCTGCACCCCAGGGTGTGGGGTGTGAGTGTGGGTATGGGTATGGATATGGGATATGGGGTGTGGATATGGGATATGGGTATGGATATGGGATATGGGGTATGGATATGGGATATGGGTATGGATATGGGATATGGGGTATGGATATGGGATATGGGTATGGATATGGGATATGGGGTGTGGATATGGGGTATGGGGTGTGGATATGGGATATGGGGTGTGGATATGGGATATGGGGTATGGATATGGGATATGGGTATGGATATGGGATATGGGGTATGGATATGGGGTATGGGGTATGGGATATGGGGATGAATATGGGATATGGATATGGGCATGGGATATGGGGATGAGTTATGAGTATGGATATGGGATATGGGGTATGGATATGGGTGTGGGCATGGGATATGGGTGAGTTATGAGTATGGATATGGGATATGGGGTATGAGAATGGGATATGGGGATGGATATGGCATGGATATAGGATATGGGTGTGGGATATGGGTTTGGATATGGGACCTGGTGTGGA